ATGGCCAATGACAAACAAACTGGAACAACAACTTCAACGAACCGACATGAAAATGCTCCGATGGATGCAACGAATTAGTCTGAAGGACCACATCAAATCTACCGAAATCCTGCGCCGTGCTGGTTTAGATGATATAAAGGACGAATGCCGGCAACACCGTCTGCGGTGGTTTGGTCATGTCAAACGAAGTACAAACAGTGCCATAACTTCTCTTGCAGATGTTGAAGTACCTGGCACACGTCCCAAAAGCCGTACAAAGAAGTCCTGGTCGCAAACAATCGAGCAAGACATGAAAGCTCTAAATTTAAATGAAATGGATACAACTGATCGTCTAATTTGGCGCAAAACGTTGATGGCAAAGAGAACAACGTCCTACCTCGGGAAACCGAGTCTCTGGACGAAAAACGAAGATTGATTGATTGATTGAAACTAAACTGCTGAATAATTTAATATGTTATTAATGTGATGTGATGACGTTTTCCTTTATTAATTGTATGGCTATAGAATTATATTAATAAATACAAAAACAATCTTTGATAAGATGAGGACCAGTTGCGTGTTCATCAATCCATTGACCTTCCAGAGATGAATGGTGACTACACAATGGACCCAGCAATGCCACAACTTGATATGGAGCCTCCACTTTCAAACCATTTCAGTTCACTTGCTGATCAAGCTAACAACCAACCAGAAACATTCACTCTCAAACCAATCGACGTCATATCAATAGGTAAATCTTGTCGTCTGGTTATTTATTTCACCCTTAAATATTATTTTGATACTGCTGTTTCTATGTTTTCCTAGTTTCTATGTTACTGTTCTTGTTTCTATGATACTAATTTTGTCGTTTCTATGTCATCATTTTTAATTCTAAGTTATTATTGTTTTTTCTATGTTACTGTTGTTTCTATTTTGCTGTAGTTGTTTCTATGTTACCGTTGTTGTTCCTCTGTTACCATTGTTTGGCATTGTATATTCTTATTTTTTATTTTCCTTTAACCATTTTTGTATGCAACATGCCAAACTGTCAAATTAGGCCATGAAAGAAAATACAGAAAGAAGAGAAAGTTGGTAGTGGACGAGCAGAAAGCAATAGCAAGTGAGACAATGAAGATGCAACTGTCAGACACTTCAGACATCATTACAACTCTTGATCTTGCTCCCCCTACTAAAAAACTCATGCACTGGAAAGAGACCGGGGGTGTTGAAAAGCTGACCATTTTTCCTGGCAGGACAATTCTCTCAAAAAAACTTTTCAAGGTTCATTGAACTGACCAAATATAAACGTTAATATTAATCCTAATAAAATTAATTAAATTTTAATTTTACTGTTAACTATCATAAATAACATAATAGGATAATTAATAATGATGATATGTCCTTAAACACTGTACAAATGTATGCAATTTTAACTGAATAATCTACCAAAACGGCAGATGTTTTCTTCAAATCTGCTAATGAAACAAGCAGTGGAAAAGTTTCATGACACAGCAGCACATGAGAAGCAACATCACAACCACCAACAACAACCACAACAACATCAGCTGAGTGATCAGACACCAGAGTTGAAAAGATCAGAAGAAATTGAAGTTAGGAATACCATTGGAGCTGGTTAGTGTTGCTGCTGTCAATCATTTAATTGAAAAATTTTCAACATTTTATTTGGTAATTTATCTTTTTTTAGATGGTATTGCCATGAATCGAAGATTTGATGTTAATATGGTTCATATTTTATTTCGATTGGTTGTGATAATTAAATATAGTTAAACAGTTATTTTGACTGTAGCATCTTGTATACATTTTAATTAAATTAAATTTTACTGTTTAAATTGAAATTTTGCAAAAATGTATTGAACAGATGGTATGCCTCGCTTGGTGTTTGCCGTTAAGAAGCATCTCATTCCATCCACTGCATCATCATCGTCGTCGTCATCAATAACGACAACCACTTCAACGACAGCTGAAACAACAATTACAACAGCAACGCCAACAGATGATCAGCAAATAGCAGATGAATCACCGCCAGCAAAACTTCGATCGATGTCATCACTGCCTCATATTTACAATGGCAACTTCAACCACGTTGACAGCTTACTCAGTGCAAATAGAACATTGATTCAGTTTGACGACACTACGGTTTCATCAAGAACCCACCTTAAAGATGATGACCCAACTGCTAATGTCACCTCTCTTGAAACTAGCCACAACACCGCAAATGAGGACAACAATACTATCGATAATTTTGATAATGATATCGCTGGTGCTTATGATTACGATAATGATGACAATGATGATTACGATTATGCAAATCATGTTGACAACAACGAACCTGAAAAAGATCCATCACACATTAGTGATGATGATAACGATCAACAAGCTGATGATGTTGATGACGATGGCTTGCTTGAAGGGGTCAACTCATTTGCATTTATTCTATCTGTATATAAAACCAATTTGAGTTTGGTGTTATGTCAAGTAGTTTTAATAAATTCATTATCAATTTTATTTTTCAAAAGTAGTAAAAAATTAGAAACTTCATCTTCCATTGCTGAAAATATAATTTCACAATAATAATTGACAATAAAAATAAGTAAGATAAATAAATAATGCTGACTGTGAGAATGATCAATGTCTGCTATATTTTTTTAAAGTTTGTGACGATGGCGTACAGTAGTGAGGGTGATGTTGATGAAGTTATTGAAATGTTTATGCAGGTCGATGAAGAAGCCACTGAAGAAGCCGAAGAACGACGTTGGAACAAAAGATCTCAGCAAATGTTGAGCACATTGAAACGACTTCTCAACAGAAAGGAACATGTCAGTTTCAAAGAAACAGTCTCAAAATGTAACCGCAAACAAGTCGCTTCAAAATTCTATTCATTATTGGTTCTTAAAAAAACTCAAACGATTGACGTTAAGCAATCTGAGCCATTTTCAGACATTATATTAACAAAGGGGTCGTTATATTCGGCAGCTTAATATTTCAGAAAATTTTTTTAATTCATTTGTGTCCATTTGCAACTCTGTCAAAAGATGTCAATAGTTTTAATTAAAAATTTATTTAACTTTTGTGTAATTTAGCTAGGTCTGTTACAATAGAAATATATTCAAATGAAATCTGTTTTGTATACACATGTTTTGTTATGACAGTTTTTACAAACATTTGCAAAACGTTGCTTAATATCCTAAATGCATGTGTGTTTGAGATGTTTTAACTGAGTGTTATATTTTCTTTTTTAAATTAGTTTCCATTGTAAATATCTGTTTTATGACTGACTGCCCGCTGAATGATGTGTTATTTATTGAGAGCCATATTTTTTATTTGACGTAAGGGGTTGAACTCTAATTTATTTTCCCTAAGCATTCATTACTTTTTCTTATCAGTCATACAGCCACTCTCATTCAATAAATAATCATGCTTTAATATTAATTTCTTTATACTCTTGTTCTATTTATATATTGGGAATAAAATTACACGCCCTTACGGATAAGCCCACACCTGTCATATTTTGTGCTAATGATTAAAAGGACTGAATTAAATATATTGGATTGTTTTGCAATATGTAAATGCATACTTCCAGGTTGATAATGAAAATTAGCATAAATCATGCAAGACGTTTTGGTGCGAATGATGATTGTCCGATAGGAAAAGTTAATCTGTTTCAATTAATGGTCACCAATCATGTTAACTAAATTAGTTACTAGTCTTTTAATTAATTGTTAACTTGTGTTTTATTTTGGCTGAATGAATGAATTCATCAATTTACTGGGATATATAAAAATTCAAAGTATATAATTTTTAATATATATATATATATATATTTAATATATATATATATATGTATGCTTTATATATATATATATATATATATATATATATAAGTGCTCCAAAAAAAGTATATACACATTATAACAATTCTAAAGTTGGCGTTTATCCTAATTTTTTTTTATTTCAAAAAAATTTATCCAACTTTATTTGGTTTTTTAGAGTTAAACAGACGCCTATTTTGATTCAGACACTGTTGTCAATACAAATTCATTTCAATACATTGTGAAACAGTTAATATTTCAACTATACTGTTTTGAACAATGACAAAAAATAACAGCAAATTGATACTTGTAAATAGTTTTATATATTTTAAATTATAATATGAATTTGACAACGCTTAGCAGCTACATTTCACAACGAAAAAATGATCTCAATATTTTGGCGCATTCATGTTCAATGGTTTCTCTCAATCCAGTGAATACTATAAGTTTCATAGCGTAGACTTTGTCTTTTAGGCGTCCCAATAAATGCATACGTGCTATTTGAAGCATTTTGTGATGTGGTAAATAGCGGTTTTAACAAGGTTGGTTATTAATTTTCATACCAAAAGTTATGAAGAATATTTTTTTGAATTTAAAGAATATTTTATCAACATAAAAATCAAATTCAATAAAGTAATATAAACATTATAATTATTTAAGAGTTTATCGCGCTCTTTAATTAACAGGTTATTTCTCAAAGGCATTGATTGATTGATTGATTGATCGCGCTCTTTAAAACTTCTCAAAGCGCTGTTTAAATCGTGTGGTTTAATTCATGAAAAGATGAGTTTTTAGTTCTTTACGGAATTGTTGAAGAGTTAATCCAGGCTGACGAAGGTGGCGTGGTAAATTATTCCAAACTGTTGGACCAGCAATGGGAATGTTCCTGTTTCCTTTAACTACTTATGTTTTTGGCACCAATAGAAAATCTTTGAAATCTGAGCGTTACTGAGGATGTGGAACAGGTTCGATCTTATGCAAACACTTGTCAGACAGGTAAACTGGACTAAGACCGTTCAAACATTTTAATACCATGATGACAATTTTGAATTTGATTCTTCGCATAACAGTCAGCCAATGCGGGTTCAATAGACTATGACTAACATGGTCAAACTTCAATCCACCAGTAACAATCTTAGCTGCTCGATACTGAATTGACTAGTTGGCTCATTATTGACAGGTAAGCAAAACTCGATAACTTATCCACGTATGTCAATAAAATTATCACTAATCCTTTGCAGTTCCTGCCAAGTTCCAGCTAGAAAAAGTTTAAGTCTATCATCTATTTATTTAAATCTTTATTCGTGTTTAGCTTAAGTTTATCATCCATTTGTATAAATCTTTAACACAGCAGACGAATCTGTTAGCTCAAATGTCATTGTTTTACAACAAATGGGAGAAATGATTTAAACATCGTCAGTTAAAAAGTGGTATTTAAATTTAAATATTACTTAAACTTATTGATGATGTTGAAAATATAAGCTGCGTAGAGCAAACACAACAGAGGTCCAGAACAGAGCCTTGAGAGACACCAGATGAAAGCACCTCAACATCAGACAATGTACCGTTGAAGAGAGTCCGTCCAACCAAGCAAATACGATTCAAACTACGTCGCAACTACCCCAGAAACACAAAACTGACCTTTTATAACTTTTCAATCAGCGAAGATTGAACGACGCAGTCGAAGGCTGTGCTCATATCCAATAGAACCAATAGTGAAACTTTCTGAGCATCCATAGTTGCAAATAGTTCAGATATCACGTGGATCAGAGCTGTCACGGTTGAAAAGACAAATGAGCCGGCAATCAGTCAAACTTAACAAAACGGTTCAAAAGTTGTTTGGAGACATATATAGAGAGAGTATATATATATTCTATATATATATATGCTTGCGGACAACACTTTTAATAATTTTTGACAAAAACAAAAGATTTGAAATTGGACGATAATTAGTAGTACCATTTCTGCTTTATTGGCTTAGAGAAACGACCAGTGCTCAAACACAGATTAATATAAAAATGCTAAAAACGGGATGAAAAGACAACGTACAAATTGAAAATTCTTGTTGGAACAAGGTTGCATGAAAGCGATTTTGTAGGCGAACCAAGAACGATTTTTTTAACATCATTTGAGCATAAAGAAAGTCTGCAAAACTCTTTAAGATCTGGTCCACTATGAGAAACGTGTGCACGTATGTTTGTGTGTGTGGTGTGTGTGTGTTCATTTTCAGATGCATGCATTTGCCGACATACAAAAACTGTGTGATCACCGAAACACATTTTTAGAGTTTATAGTTTGATGAAAGAATTTGAAGTTTGTGCGATTCTGATGAGTTTTCTATTTTTTGCAATACTTTTTTTGGAATAACAACATATTTCCTTCAGAATAAAGTCCTAACCCAACGCGTTCTTTTAAAATACGCAATCGGAATAACCTCGCACAGATCACAATAAGCAGGTGCGTAAGAATAGAAGCGTTGATGCTAGCATGTGCACGCAACGACTGAATAAAAAAGCTTAAAGCTTAATGTAGAAATATTTTCAATTAAGTTTTTAATTTTTAGATTTTATAAAAAAAACAATACCGTGGAAACTGGAAATATTATTTTATTAAATTTAATTTTACGAAGTCACACGTTTTTTCAAAAAATACGTGAGTTACATGTCAAGGTATATAAAATAAGAACTTTATTAAGTTGTTTAACTAATGTTAAAGTTCATTGGATCACATAAAATCTTTTTAAATATTAAAATCGTTGCACAATGTAATCACGTCAAAACAAGATAAAACTATAAAATATGTTTTTTTTTAAATATTATGAATTAAAAAGTTCAAATAATGTTCGAACATCATCTAACCATCATTTTTGACACAGGCAGTTTTATTGTGTATCCTACGCTCGGTATTTTAATATTTTCTTGGTTCAATGGAGCAGCTGCGGGCAGAATTATGTCCTGCACTGTCACAAAATCGTCCATGGCATCTTTTATACTTTCCTTCACAAACTTCGGACGAGGAATAAAAAAGTTTCCGTTAAGTTCGTTGCTGAAGTGAAATCTGTGTGAAGAGAAGAGCATTTTTGCTTCCCACCCGACTTGACCGTTCGTGAAAATTTTTTTCTCGAAGGGATCTATAAATTCCAAAATGACGTTCCACGCAGCAAACCTTTTCTTAGTGTGAGACTCCCACAAGATTTGAAAGTGAAAACATTTCCAGCTCTGAGGCGGAATTGAATATTTGTTTAGTTTGCGTTTCATCGAAGGGAAATAAATATCTTGAACGTAATGACTGGTATTGTGAACGCCGTACTTAAGAGACGGGACAACCACGGTTGCAAATGTCCATCCGTTTCTTGAGGTTCTTCCGTTAAAATATGTGTACGATGGATTGGGCAAAATGAATAATATCAGCGTGAAGTTATCCGAGCCATTATCGAATGATTTATGACAGAAAGAATCGGCCATGCATAGCCAAAGACGATGATACGGCTCGCTGTTTGGCACTCTGACGTGGATATTACCTTTATTGTTTACATCGCCATCGACATTAGTGTTGATCGAATTACATTTCATTTTTTGATCAAAATTACAGTTTTCTACGTGATTATTATTTTTATCAACATTAAAATTAGTTTTGTGACCGTTATCGTCAATGAATTTTTCGTTTTCAGTGATTTTCTTTTTGTTAGAATTATCTTCGCATGTTGTTTCTGAAAAAATTTTATGTTCTTCAATTTTTTCGTTTGCCTTTTGTTCCGTCGTATTTGTGTTTATATCGGAGTTAGACACGACCGCTGTTTGATGTTGACTCATATATGAAGGAAAGTTTTCATAATTAGGACGGTGAAATCCACGATCTTTGAACAGTATAGGCGTTTTTATGGAAAAATTAATGATAGGAAATTTCCGTGACAAAACTTTGTGTTTGTTTTCAACAACATTGATCTCACCCATTATGCGAACCCAGTTGAAAGGATGAGAAAAGCAATACAACTTCTTGTCGTAACACATTGAAATCTGGAATGACCAATAAGATGTTGGTTCATCAATAATTCGTTGCATTCTTATACCGTCAAAGCCTTCAACATCAGTTGCTGGTTTTGAATAGATTCGTTCGTACTTAGGATAGAAGGTAGAATCTAATTTCTCGGTATTTAAAATTTTGCCATCTGAATCGTGAATTTTAATGATTTGTGGCATTTTAATATTTTTTAATTTATTCGTGTCATCGTACGACTTGGGAATGGAAGGTATGTGGTTAGATTTGAATTCCTCAACCAAGTTCGTTATTTTCTCTTCCGCGTTCAAAGAAGTCAGTGTTTTAATGTCAACTGAACATGAAATTTTATTGTGCAAATCTCCATTTCCAGTTATTTTCGGGTGATCTTTTACAACATCATTTAGCGAAAAATCATATTTTTTAACGACTTCACATGTTTCGTCAGCGTGAAAATTTGCAACATTTTGTTTCACTTCAGCTATATCTTCGTACACCATTTTTTCATTAATTTTTTCCTCTTCAGTAATCTTCTCAACAATTTTAATTTTTTTTATATTGTTTTTAACGACCGGAAGATCATCACAACTTTTCGACTTTTTAAGTTCCATCCTGAAGGACGATGGCAAAATACGAAGTGAAGGTGTTTGAAAACAATTCATAGTAGCTCTATCCATCTCAAAAGTAACATTTTTTTCAGCACTTTTGAATTGTTTAGCATTTTCTTCAGTATTCCTGAATTGTTTATCGCTTAAATCATTCATATTTTCAGCAGCGCAAACATCTTTAATATTAATAATTTCGTCAACACATTTTTTTTCATAGTCACTTTCATTTTTTTCTGAAAAACTATCTATAAATTTTATTTCTCTAGGAAAGATTTTTTCTACAAAAACTAATCCGGTTTCCATTTCAAGTTATCCACTAAATAAATTTATAATTATTTAAACCAAACTATAAAATAGAATCGTTGAAAAACTTATTGCAGTGTCCGGAAAAATAAATGTTAAAACTTATAAATTTTGTTAGTTAAAATAATTTCTACCAAAACGATTTAAAAATCTTTTTCAACTTAAACTTGTACGTTGGATATTTTAAATAGACAGAAAACTTTAATCTTGCAAAGAAATTTGACGCACCTTTTGTACAATAGCAGCATAAATATTGCCTTTGCCGCTTTCTAAAACGTTTTGTGTGACTGAGTTGTTCGAGATATTTAATTTCTAAATACAAACATTTTTATTGACTATAAAAATATAAATGATTTGACTTATGGAAGAGGTCTTAGAAAGCGCATTTTTACTAAATGCTATAAAGTAAATTTATTTTTTTCATGAACAAATATCGCTGGCCCATTCATTCAATCTGGCACGCACAAACGTCTCACTCGGACACACGGAGCCTATAATTACACGGCAATCTATTGAAAGTGTAGTACCTGTCATTATTCAATCACATACATGCGTTGTTTTCACAACATTAGTCCAACGATGGAAGGATGGCGATGATGATGGTATGAGGATGATAATAATAATAATGATATTGATAATCAGAATTTTTTGATAATTACAATAAAAAGGAGCACTAAATGGACATTCTATATTTTCTATCAATTTAAAAAATAGCGAATCCTAACAAATATCTATAACATGTAAACGTTTAAATATTTCTTTACTGGTCAGACTTCATTCACGCACATACTTAGAACAAAGTTGTGAACTAACTCACGGTCACTAACACAATAAATCAGCTCCATCATCTTCACGTGTTTAAATGGAAAAGCCTGAAGGAGAGGAAGAAATTATTTGCTTGTTGTTGCAGTCGTTCATTTTACGCTCCGATGAGTTAATGAATAGATGCTAGTCTCCTGAGATGAATTTTTGAGTGATTCAGCTGCAAACCTCATAAATACGGACAAGCGTCTTTTTATTTTTGTTTTTTATGAATTTATTTTTTATTCAATTAAATATCAATCTCAGCTTTTACATTTCACTTTTTCTGGATCGTAATAACTTAAAAAAAGATTATATATATTTCTGAAAAATTTTCAAGAAAATTTTTAATATTGTCATCTTTCAAAAATTTAATTTACTTTTTAAATTTTGATAACCGGAAAACATAAATATTCAGCATTAGAGTCGCCATTTAATTTTCTTATAATCATTTACATCCGGCTATTTGGAAGAAAATTACTAACCAAGAAAACAAATGGACATTGCAAAAATTGCATATATATATATATATATGCATATATATATATGCATATATATATGCATATATATATGCATATATATGCATATATATATATATATATATATATATATATATATATATATATTAAGACTGGGATTAAGACTGTTAAGACTGCCGTAGATACAATTGTTAAGAAATATCATTGTATTTTTAGCTTTGATTAGTTTCTGGTTCAATTTTTCAATATTTCGTTCGTATTTTTATCCTCATTTTAAATTTATCTATATAGAAAACAAAGTTTTTAACTACTTTTTTACATTTTTACGAAAAAGCTTTTTTCTGCAATCCTTTGCCATTTTCACCGTAGTATGTTATCAACTTACATCTGTGTGTTCCTACTTTATTGGCTCCAAAAATTCACTTTGCGTTCCTACTTTATTGGCTCTAATAATTCACTTTGCGTTGATCCATTATTCATCTTTATAAGTAATTTTTTACCAGTAGTAACGTTACCGCTTTCTGTTACAGGGTTGTCTTTGTTTATGTAAAAGGCTTCTGCAATTTTAAGTTGAAAAGTATTTCTATATTTCTATTGCAATACAGTATCTTTGTATTATTGTTTAGTATTTCTCTAGTAATTGCTGCGTTAGTTAACTTCCTGTTAAACTTTTTGATTTTTCTAATGGTTGATTGTAAATCATTTACAAGTTTCTTGAGTTCAAAACCAAAAAATTGTGTTTATTTTATGGATGACAGAACAAAAAAGCTTTTTTCGGTATTCCTATGCCATCTTCGGTGTTCGAATTGATTCTCAAATATATATATTATATACTGTGTCTCTACTTTACTTTTTTGATTCCTTGTTTGATCAAAGCGAATAGTTAACGCTCATTTAATTAGTTTTACAATCTTCAACTTCGCTCAATGTGACACTTTTACGTGTCATCATTATCGATGATTCCTCTGTTTCTAAATTTATTAATAGGAAGGATTCCAATTGCACGTTGTTGAATATTTATTATCGGACGTTTTTGTTCTATGAGCATTGATAATGGTTGTTATTGTAATGTAAGATTTCAACATTGTGGTCCAAGATTTATCTAATAATTTTAGTTTTGTGTTTCTCTTTCATGTGATTCTTTATAACGCCAGTTTGTACGTGCATCGTGAGTCTTTTCAAAGCTTGGTCGTCGTTATACCAATATATTCCGAATTATGGTGCCCACACTCCTTAATATTACATTTCAACAAATATTTTAGATGGCTATGATCCATTATCAATTCTGGTTTACTAAAGCAGTTATTTTTCATCACAAGAGATGACGTTCTTTGGTTGAAGTAGTATATTCGTAGATTAATACTATCGTTTTCGTTGGTTGCTGGACGTTATTTTTTATGATTCTTTCCATGATTTTTCATCCTGTTCAAAAGCGGTTGACATGTGGATCTTATAATATATTATTTTGTTATTTTAGTTATTACAGTATGTTGCATTGTTGTTGTTGTTGCTGCTGATTTTTTGTTCTTTGCGTTCTATTATTTTCTGGATCATGGAATTTTTATATCCGTTATTAATGAGTAGTTTAGTGATTCTATCTAGTTTGATTCGATTCTCCTGCTTCCTATATAAGAAGAGTGCGTATAGGCTCGGTTTACAAAGGCAGAGATCGTGTTCGTGTTTGTCAACATTCACTATTTCCATGGATGCATAAACCCTTGTTGGTTGCTTTTATATATATATATATATATATATATATATATATATATTATTGATGAAAATCACAGCACGTTTGGCGATAGTTAACTAAATAAGGGTGCGTATATATATATATATATATATATATATATATATATATATACCGAAAAAAGCATTTTGATTTATCGCAATAATTAGTACAAACACAGAACAATATACGACGAATTTTAACTACTCTATTGTTTAGACTGACCGATTTCAAATAAAGTGACTTCTACAATATAAAAAAAATTGTTATCTATGCTCAAAGGTCATATATGATGATGCTATGATGAAACGCGGCATTTGAAGAATTTGACAGATAAGAGAAATGTTGCTTCACATTTCAGACTAATAAAATTATTATTGAAAATTATAAGATTCATACATCTTAAAAACAAAATCAAAAAAGGTAACAAAATTGTATTAGGCTATTTTACTATAAACATTATATAAAATTTTTTCTTTACGTTGTCTGTGAGCTATTGTGTAATTCAAATTCGGGCCGTCATTAATTTACAGTAATTGAGAAATATATTCATACAGTTTTGTTAATGTTTGTCAATGTCTCTCGTTTCGTTCAATCTAAATTTTAAATAATCGTAATCTTAAATTAAAACACAACATTTAAAGAAAGCTTCACACATCAAAAAACTAAAAACATATGACTACAATTTGTAACGTACTTTATTTTCATGGTTATTAAATACTATTTTGGGTAACCCTCGAAAATATTATTAACATCTTTGTAAATCAGATTATAATTATTGAAAGCAGCGAGCGAGTAATCGGATCGTTTTGAAGCCTGATTTTCATCTACAAAATCATTCTTGAAGTTTGTTTGTTGTTGTTGCTGTTGTTGTTTTTCTGTGTTATTGGACTTGTGTTGCTGATGGTAATACAAATAGGGTTGTGGAGAATATGAATAAACGGGTTCTGCAATGGAGGTTTGCTTGCAGCCATGCTGAAAAGAATAATGAGAAAATACAGAACGAAATAAACCAAACTGTTGATCGCCTTGTTGACTGAAGTGTTGTCGTTCCATGTGATGGGATTGTTGCTGAGGTATTGATGCAAACCTAATCGAACCGTCTTTATGAAATGGTGTCTGAAGAAGCACATTGGAATCAAATTCACCGGGCATGAGATTGTCCTCGGAAAGGTGAACATGACTAACAGGATAAGTTTGTTTATCAGATGCTGAAAAATAAGATCGTCCTTGAGAATAGCACTGTTTGTCTTGAATTCTCTTCATGTCATCTTCAGTGGCACAACGATATTGTACAAATTTTAAAGAATTGCTATCGACAATATTCGCTGATGACGATGATGAAGATGAAGTTTCATAATGTTTTTGATTAAAGTTTTGATTTGTAGAAATGTGAATGGCTTCTGTGCGATTGTTTTCAAAAGTTTCGTAGTCATTTGCATCACAAACCACGTCGTCGTTACATTCATTCTTGTTGCCGGGATGTTGTCTGTTGAATATCAACAAAGATTTTCAAAACTAATGCTTAAGATTTTATTAACATAACATAAATGTGAAAAAATGTGTTAAAACAAAAAGTTACAAAAAATTTTGAATAATTAAACAGATAAACAAGTTAATAAACAAACTAATAACAATGAATGTAAAATAATATTATTAACAAAAATATTAATTAATTGTAAATATAAATGCATTAAAGCCAATCGTGAAAGCAACACGAAACTTCAATGCAGTACTGAACTGAAGATGCGCCTACTGTAACACGTACAGTACACACAACAGATTTCACACATCTTTTTATGTAGAAATTTGAAACATGAAAACATTTTGCCGACAATGTTGCGATGTGCTCCCTTTAATTTATACGTTTGATGAAGTAACCCAATAACGCTCGCAACATCGTGCTAAGGTGTTATGGTGAACGCTGTCATTATTGTCTTATATTAAAATAAACATTTCATTACATTATCCGTTAACCTTAATTATGTGAATTTCAAAACATCAACCAAACAAATTTTACGTTCTTAATTATATTTTTTCAAATCACGGATCATGTTTTCACATTTAATAATATGCGCATGAATAGCAAATTTTAAGTGAATTAACGAGCCTTATCAAACTTTAAACGAGCTTAGACATATACAACTTAAAAATAGGCTAACAAAGTTTAAACAACCTATACTACAAATTGACATATGCACACAAATGTGCTTAATTAAAACATCATTTAAACATTATTAAAATTCTAATAAGAATGGTAATTGTTTATGCATCAGCAAATTATTTATTAACCAAAATTTAACAAGGTGAAAAATTGAACTAAGCTTTGAGAATACCTATTTTCAAGAGTGCCATTACAACTGTTCAAACTATCGGTTTGCCTTTCCGACTGGTAGTTAATAAGCGTTGAACGACAATAACTACTGCTGTCATATTCGCGGTGTTGTTCCGTTTGCGATGTAATTGCTTCTTTTTCATTGCCAACATTGTAATAAGTGTCCATAGAATTACTGGAAGAATGATCAAGCAAGGAATTTGCAACTGAGTCAGACGATGTGATGATTCGCGAGGACGAGTGGGGTTGTCGCGGATACAAGCATGTTTTGTTTCTCTGTCTACGATTTTTGAACCAATTGCTCACCTTCGAAGTTTATAAACATTTGTAAAATAAATAATAAAAAGTGAAAAATCAAAAAATGAAAAATGCACAGCAAACCTGTGTTAGCGTTAATCCGGTCTTTTTCGTTAAAAATTTTTTTTCTTCGAGACTTGGATACCTGTTATTTTTAAAACTTACCTTCAAAGTATGTCTCGACTTTTCTTTAAAACAATACACTGTTTCTTCGCCATCCCAAATTGTTTTTGGCAAAGGATACTTTTTTCTTAATCGATATTTATCTACTGCCCCTAATGGTCGCCCACGAATTCTCTGGGCTTCGGCATAATGTGCTTGGTACCATAAGTGTTGTAAATAATTATGACTAGAATGGTGGAAAGTTTTACAAGTGAGAATTTCAAATAATTTTCTAAAATGTTGCTGGTGATATGCCAGTGTAGCCTTTGCTTTTAAAACCTCTTCACTGACGTTTTTCCAAACATTGGATGATGAATCTTCTAGACTGGTTTCCATTTGCTTACAAGAGTTTTCAACATTTTCACAATGACTTTGTAAAAATTGATCCAACGTGGAATAATCTTGCTTTTGAATCAACGCAGAGCAAATGCAATCGATTTGTTCTAGTGAAAAAATTGTACTCTCAAAATTTTTGAGTTCGGATAATTGTGTGCTATTGGATTTGGTATCTTTTGACTGATACGAAAGCCTAGTGAAGGGCACTGTCATTTCAGAGTCTTGATCTGACCAGGTATTTGGATGCATTGTCTGTAGAATTTCCGATTTCGGCGACGCATTACAAAACGTGCTTTCAAGTCTATCGCCGCAGATAGGACCTAGCGATTCTTCTTCACTACCACTGCCATCAGAATCAGAACTGATATTACTTGTCGAATTTTGGACCGACAATATTTTTCCGGACATTACAACAAAACTGAAAATGGACCAATGCCGCGTTTATGAAAATTACAAATCGACACATTCAAGCAACGAAATTTTCAAAACATGTAACATAATCGAATTATTTAAATAAAGCAACTAAAACAAACACGAAGATAGCTGAGACGGCAAGCTTAAGCATACGGGATCAAACGCCAATCAAAATGCGCGATCCAACACCATTGGTTGGTCACTTTTAAGTCCACCTACTGCACGAGTTGTTAGCGCACGACACTAATTTGATCGTCATTACGCAACGATTATTGTTTGAAATAAGAACACCTCAAACGAACGAACGCATTCACAAACAATTGGCAATTAAGTCGTGCCTAATATTCATTAGATAAAATTTGCGTGACACTATTACTCAACTTCGTTTTTAATAAATTACAAAATAAATTAAAGCGAAATTTCGTATTTACATAATTTAATACATCTCAATTCCATATGGGTTATCAACATTTTGAAAAAATTAATCAACTTGTAAATAAAAATGTTTTAGAAAAGCTTTTGTTTAGGAAGTGGAAGATGAGTTGTTTCTTGATGACTTGAACCGATTGATAAATTCGAAAAATGGAACAAAGTTGGAGATGTACGCTCGTTGCCGATTGGCTGATTATCCAACTGATTGAAAGACCCTGTTGTCGAAGAATTCAAAATTTAATTGCTCAAATAAATTTGACAAACAAAGGCACCTTTCAGAGGAAAATTAAATTCGTTTGTATTAGCCAGTCTTGGAATTAATGGAATATTTTTATCATCCACAGATTTTTTATAAATTGCTTGTCGCCTGGAAACCTCATACATGTTCTAAATACATATAAGAAACAATTTTAGTATAAATTTCAAATTATTTTTCTATTAGTTACTTGTAGCTTATGAATATATCTATTTTTTTCCAATAGTTTATCATTCATTTCTGCTATTTTGCTTTTTGATTCTTCAAGTTCTTTTTTCAAACCTGAATTTTTAACAGCTATCAAATTTTAAAAAAACGAAATGGAATAAATTCTTACTTTCTATTTGCTGCTTCATACCTTTAGTTAAAACAAAAAATATTAATTTATCTTTTTATCAACAAAAGAAATCAAAAGCATTCAATGTATGGAATTATTTAAAAAAAAGTAAATCAAACAAGTTAACCTAAAACAGATGCTTCAGCATTGCTAGTTATTTTTTTACAAAATTGCTCAATTTGAATTTTTTGTTCTTTACTGGAACTAATATAATTTTCTAAGAAACTAATTCTTTGCATAATTTGATAAGTCCAAAATGATAAACCATGCTGAAACATTTCCATGAGTATTTCCGGCTTTAGACCAATTAGGGCCATCTTTAAAAAATTAACAATACTAATTGTATGTCATTGATTATTATTAATTAAGTGTATAATTTATCAGGTTGAAGTTGTATTAACCAATTTCATTTTATCTGATGGCTGGACATCCAAACATTTTACATCATTTTTGTCACAGAACACAGTTTTACCTTTGAAAAATATTTGTGGATGATAAAACAAAGCTAGCTCATTACAATGAAATAATACTAACAAATAGGACAATGATTAACTTCATTAAATTCTCTCACAGCACATTCATTACAGAAAACATCTGAAATAAGATTAATAAACTTTTGTAAAAATTTTCTGTTCAGAAATGTGTGATCAAAAACTTACGAAAACATGAAGTAACCTGAAATGAATATAAATATATCATTTAAAAAATGAAATCATTCAATTATTTATATAAAAATAAATGAATATATAAAATAAATAAATAAAAACAGATGAATAATCATTTTTTAATTATTCCCTCATTTACTTATTCAATGACACATTTTATTCAATCAGCCAACTAACTGATATTATAATAATAATAAGCCATTTAAAAAACCAACTAGTTTAATTTTAATAATTCCTTCATTAATGAACTGTTGCTGTTCAATCAACTCATACTTCTAACATAACTTTTGTCTCCTTTTATATCTATGCTATTTAATTGTTGTTTACTAAAGTTTATTCTCTCTTCTTGCACGCCAGATTCACACTATTTTTTATAATTTTATTTATGTGCAATCAGACAAAATAAAAACCAAAATAAAATATTGTATTATTAAGTAAGATTAACATAACTTACTTTGCTTAAATAATAGTTATAAAATAACTTTTGACTGGACATTTATAAACCATAAAAAGTATATTCTATTATAATTATGTGAGTCATCCGCAAATATATTATAAAATAGACAAATCGTGCGATACAATTTTCTAAAATAAATAAATTAAATAGGCAGTTGAGTAATTAGAATCCAAAAAAATTAAAAAACTTAACCCAGGCAGAGTTCGATAACCTTGACGAGCACTTAGAATTATTGCATGACAACTCATCCATATAGTCAACTTTTCAAACGAAAAATATAGAAAAAAATTTGCTAAAGGCAATCTAAAATCACTACACTTAACAAAGCTTGATCTGGCCAGATCTGCGAAGCAATTAAACTGCAACAAGCGTCTGCGCTCTAACCAAAGATCTTGCAAAATTATAACCAAAGATATTGAAATGTAAAACAAATAAAACATTTATGACTTTATTCTAAATATATATATATATATATATATATATATATATATATATATATAATATACGTTTGTGACAATACCGAATACTTGAAATAAATACAAAAGTAAATTATACAGTTAAACAGAATTCAAAGTATGTGTGTGTAACTCGATGCTAATTATTTATTATGTCACATGTGTAATGACATAGTATATTTATATAGATCAAATACATTTTAATCCGTTTTTTCACTATTTTAAACTGTTAGCTGTGATTAAAGTAAAATTTAAAGTAAACCGTTAGCCGTATCTCGCATCGCATTGTTTTGGCGCGCTGGTTCAAATGTCATCTATTCGAAATAAAAATTTTCGCAGGGCTTGTTTTATGCGTATCAAAAAAAGAAATAACAAACGATCTTTGTGTTATCTACATTTTATATCATATCTTTCAGACCCAAAACTCATCAATTAAAACAAACGACTGAGCCTGAAAGATACAAAACAGATACAGATAACACCAAGATCATCACATTGCCTGTGCCTATGATTTAATTCAATGCTTCTGCGTATATACGGACGTCGTGCATAAAAAAGATGCGTGTGTATGCATGTATACGTCATGGTTACGTGGTGTTGATGTTACTGCCTCTATGGCACAAAAATTTCTAAACGGCACTGCGTTAGCGCTGTCAGAAGCTGCATAACAATCAAAATACCAAATAATGATGAGTGAGTAATTTTATGAAAATCATTTTGATGTTGTTCTCGTACATCCGCAAAGAAAAGATGTACCTATTAACATAGACACAGACATACACCACACACACATACACGCACACCACACACATACACATACACAATTTAAATACATCTACATAATGTATAGGTATCTATTTATATTTGTTCATTTATTTTTTTTTATAATTACGTATGTTTAATCATAGTAAATTCATTTAACGCACTTTTTCGCGGAGTTCCTAGTTTTGAATTGTGCAATTAAAATAAAGTTTTCAGTTTTATTTATGAATTTAAAACTCTAATAGTTTGATTTTTTAAGATAAATTAATTTGAATAAGCTTAAAAAATATTACAAATAAATGAAAAAATTGATTTGGAAGATAGTTATCATTCAAGTGATTCCGTGATTGATTCCAAGAATTCAACTTTTTTTTTCCACCCACCCCATTATTCCGTAAACAATGCTGAAAAGTAAATCACTGATTAAGTTCAGATACCGTTGTTTTGCTTAATTAAATTAAATTATTAAAAATATGATAAACTCCATATTCCTTTTGCATATCACGTTAATACTCATTAATTAAATCAAAAAATTTACTTTCATGGATAATGATTCAGATGCACCCGCCTCATCTTCCGTTCCTGCAGAGTTTTTGGTGTTGGCCTGTGCAGATGATGTTAATTCCAGGGAGAGGAAAGGTTCGTTTTTTTCCCCATTTGATTGATTGGTCTCTTTTGTACTTTTCTTGCTTGGGTCTCCTAAACTTCTTTTTTCTACTTTAAAATAGATGAATAATTGAATTGAATTGAAGTTTGATTAATTAATAATATGAGTTACAGACACTGAGTTTAAGTAAGAATAGGTCATGCACAATATTTGTAGTTTGCTAAAAAACATTACGAATACATTTAAAATAAAATTATATTTATTTATAATTTTGAAAATGAAAACATGTTTTTTTATTATAAATAGTTAAATTAAAATTTAATGTTGAATATTATTTAATTTATCTTTATTAATTATTCACTCTAAATTTTTTAAAAATAGTTTTTCAGGATACTTATTTGAACTGTTGAAACTACAGGTTTTTTTAACTGTGAAAGTTTTTTAGAGGCTGACAGCATTGTTAATGTTAATAGTTATTAACATAGTTCTTTATCAATATTAGTATCTTTCAGACTTAATATTTTAAAATGTTGAATTTCTAAAAAATAATTATAGTAAAGATTGAAAAACAACATTCAAAGTTCATTACAATTTTAAATCACTTTATGTTAATATATTTTAATTATAATAATATCATATTATATTATATTTACAAGTTTGAAAGATGTAACACTTGTAGCTTAACATTTTAGTGAATTAACTTCTAATTCTCTTTAAAAGTTTTGAGCTTAAAATTTATTTTTTAAAACTGGCTAATTCTGTTAAAGTAAATTTGACCTATCACTTGACTTTTGTGATCCGTCAAACGAAGGAATTTATAAAATTAGCAGAAATATTTTAGCCTAGATCTAGTTTGAATGTAATTTCTAATTGTTAAATGGTTTGATCTACATATGTGTCAGCTAAGTTCATTTTTATATTATTAATTAATAGAATTGAATTTGACCAAATCAAATATTATTACTTTTTATGTTGAATTTTTTATTTATTCATTTTAAAAATGTGAATGTCAGATCAGTAATAAATATTTTTCAAGGGTTGGCTCTAATTTTATATATAATGATGTTAACATGTGTTAAAAATGTTAAATAATATTTATTCACACATATGTTGAAAATCTAGTTCTAACGTTTTTCAAGTTAATATTCATTTTCTAAACAATGATATTTCAATAGATTCCTACAATGAGCTGGTTGGTAATGAAGGAAGCTATCAAATTCAGAACACTACTGACAGTATAAATGCTCAGAGATGGGAACTTAATTATTATGAAGCGTCTATTTATTTAAACGAGGGAAAGGACAATGACAAATTTTCAGTTCATCCAAGAAACCAACTGAAGTTACCCATTTACAAAATAGTTCACAGCACTTGGTTTCACATTGTCAGCTTGTTGGTGTCTATTGAAATATTAGCCCTTGTTATATGTGAATCCCCCACTAACTTACAGCTGCCAGTCATCGTTAGTTGTTTTCCTTTGTTTAAATTTTTATTAAAATTGTTCTTACTTTTTTATTTTTGTCAATTACATAGGCTCATGCAGTGCTAGAGTTGTTGGGCTTGTTGTTGATATTTATTGAAATGTTTTTGAAAGCAAAGTGGCTTGGTTTCAAAGCTTTTATAAGTCATCGTCGAACGGTGTTCAAAGTTAGATTTTCACTTACCATATTTCATCATAATAAATATTGTTTGTATTATAGATATATTTTATGGGAAGGATTTATATTATAATGACCATCAATGCTAGAGATGTTATAATAGTACTGTTACAATTTAATTAAATAAAGAACAATACACCAAAAATGTCAGTTGGTTGTGTTGGTGGTGATGTTTGTGGAGGCAGTTGTGGTGATAATTCGCCAATCAAATCACATCAGAGTGACTAGAGCCTTGAGACCTCTCTTCCTCTTAGATATTCACTATTGCAGGGGAGTTAGAAGGTTCATTTCTACATTATTACTAAAAATAGCAATTTGTAAATCAATAAATCATTAGGTTACTGGCACTTTACTTTAAACAGATTTATACGCCAGATACTGCAAACGCTGCCTTCCATTTTGAGGATGCTGGTCTTCATCTTCCTTTTTCTCACCATCTTCTCCATGCTTGGCTAGTCTTTATTATGTATTCTATAACTTGTTGAATTCAACATTAACCTGAGTTTATTTATAGTCGTCAGATGAATGTTTATAATTGATATAACATGTTGAAGTGTAAAAACAACACTGATTATATTTGTTTATTTCATTATTCACATGAATGTGGTACTGTGTTTGTTCATCATTTTCAGTTAAGAATTTCAAATATGTGTTATAACTTATTTCAAGGTTTCTTCCTTTTCTCCAAAAATGAAAAGAATGAGGTTATTTTTCTATTTATTTCTTTCAGATATTGATAATATTATGATACCAACCCTCTGTTAACGTAATTTTTCATTTTTAAGTAAATGCTCAAACAGAGTTTATTAATTTATCGATGACGAATTTTAAGTTCAGAGAAACTAAACTTCATAATGAAATGACGAAATTCAGACAGAATTTCATCCACCTCATCACAGATGCAACATTTTTTTGCATTTTCATTAATATTAATCTCTAATTATTCAATGAAAATTTTATTTTTTGATCACTTTTTTATTTTTGCAGTATTTCCAGACATTCATTGATAGCTTCATAAGTCTCTTCATTCTCATGACCACCTCAAAGTTTGTTATTGTGGAGTTATCTTACCAGTACAAATCTATTCATACTGGGTTTTTTTACTGTTATGTCGAAATGATGGTTCTTATTTTATTATTAATCATTACACAAGTATTACATCATTATTTAATATTCATCGTTACATGATTACCACCAAACACCATGTTATCCTTTATTAATGGTTATATAGTTATCTTCTAGTATCCCATTGCCTACCTCACTGCCAGTTTCCCAGATGTCATGATGCCTTCGTACAAATCTTCAAAGTGGTCGTGCATTTATTTCATCGTCTACATCAGCCTTCAGCTCTTCATCTTCATGAACCTTGTTCGTTTCTACTACCTTAGTCACTAAATTATTAATTTCATATTTTGTTCTAGCAATCGGCTTTATAAGAGTTGATTCAACAGCAGAATTTATAAAATGCGGAAAAGAGGCTTAAAATAATAGTAATGTAATATATATATATTAATTATTGTAGTTATTTTGCATAGTAATTATAAATTTTTGCATGCTTTTTACCGTTATCTCGTATTTTTAGGTTCAGCGGTGTCTGTTTTGCCTTCAAAATTTAATTGAATTGAATTTTTATTTTGGGTACATGCAGTTGATAAAAAGATGCCTCATTAAATAAATTATTTATCTCATTTTTAAACATTTTATAAAATAAATTACTTTGGTGGGTTGTGTGACATATAATAATCACTTTGTAGAATTAAGTACTAAAAAACTATTTTGGGTGTGCACATAATTAGCGGTCTTCAAGTTATTTTGAATGTTCACTTCATTTCATTATCCAATTTGATAAGTTATTATTATTTCATCATTCTTTTGAAAGTTTACTCAAGACTTGTACATGCAAATTTGGTTCACACCAAATGAAATTGATTAGCATTTTATACTGTGCGTGGATTAATTTTACAAATCTCTTTAGAAATTTTTTATGTTAATTATATGTTGTGTTTAAATTTATAGCGAATTTTAAGCCCTTCCACATTGCGATCTCCCTTTTAACTTAATTTTGGTTTTTCTAATCATTAATTTTTTTCCCGCAATTTTGTTGTTTGTAACTTTTGTTAATTATGTTTTTAGTTCATCGCTGTTGTCTACAGCGAGTTTTTGAAGATGGAGAAAGAGAAATTTAAAAAGTTGTTCATTCATAAACGCGAGGCATGCAGGCTGGCTTTTTATTTGCTGGTTTCTACAAAGGTTTTTTTCTATAATTGGCTTCTAATTGGTTTCTTTTTTATTGATTATACGTAATTAATTGGTCCAATACTTCATAAGTAGTTGATTATATATGAAATGAATGAAGAGGGACTAACTGCAGTTGTATGAAAATTCTGATGCGTCTTTGAACTTTTATAATTGCTACTTTCTCTTTTACAGCTAGTTTCACCAAGTTTTGGTTTTAATGCAATGTTAAGTTGTTTCAAGAAACTATTAATTTGCAATGTTTTATTATGCCATTAAGTTGTTTTTGTATGCTACCATTACGTTATATCATTACCATACGACAGACACCACAGCATGTTTCATTCAAGCACTTTAGAGGATGCATGAAATATTTTCAACCTCACATGAGTTAGTTCGTTTATTCTTTGCAATGATAATAAATGTTAAACAAAACGATAATATGATACTTTGAGTGTATCCTGAGTGATATATATCATGATGTATATTATTTATTCATGCTTTTGTAATTAATTTTTACCTGCAGTAAGTTTTGTTGAAATTTCGCATAATTCAAGTGCAACTTTAATGTTTCGTTGGCACTCCTTTACTAGGAAGTAATTGTGAATGTTGTTTATGCTGTTTTTTTTAATATAGCTCCGTCAACAGCTTACACGTTCCTCTATACTTAATTATCATTCGCGCCACAAAGACTGTACCTCCCACACATCACACGACGTACATAAACATTTTGTATGCACGTGCAAGCACCGCATTATACGCGCGTAGTATTTGATAGTCTTTGAGTCTGACAGAATATTCGAACCAGGCCATCGCATAATAACAGTGCGAGACACGGCACTTTTACCAACTGAGCTAACTCGGGGGTCATATGTATGTATTATATATGTTATCATTCGTTATCAATGGTGATGTGGTTATGTTGATGGTGATGATGATGACAATGATCGTGTAATGATGATGTCCAAATTGGTGATGATGTTGATGATGATGACGATAACGATGATGATTATGATGATGATGAGTTTATTGATGATGATGAAGTCGATGAGGTTACTTGTGATATTATGATGATACTAATTATCATGATATTGATAGTAATTATTACAATGTTGCTAATGATGATGATTATGCTATTATTGATAATTAAGCTGATGATGATGATGATAAAAATGATGATGATGATGATGATGACCTGTTACAATATTTCAGGCAGTCAAGACAAATATTTGACCTTTAAATCTCTGAACACGAGTAACAGTGGAGCGTTGAGTCTGGATGAATTCATGAACATCTATCAGCACGTCAAGTTTCGTTGGAAGGTCTTTTTTCCATTCATATTTCGTCATAACTATCTCTGGTAACTTGATAGAGGATGCTTATCATAAGTAGAGAGAGAGAGAGAAAGAGAGAGAGAAAGAGAGAAAGAGAGAGAGATGATAAAACTAATGGTGACAGCGAGTTATTAATGTTATATTATTTAGCAACGTATCATTTGTACTTTTTCAAATTTGCAGATGGAAAGTCTTCCAAGCCAGGATAACGATCGTGCCTTTGTCACTAGAATGAAACATTGTTAGTTTTTTTTCAATGCAATATTCTAAAACGTGTACATTTGTAATATTTTATAACATTTCAATATTTATATTTAACGATAGAAAAATAGATCAACATTTATTTACATCTGTTAATGTTATTTTTTCATAAATTATTTTAGTTTAAAATGTTAAATTAAAATATTAGTGATTTACAGAAACTGATTAAAAAAATCATCCTTATCACGCCATTGTTTAATTTAATTGAAATTGTTTTGCCAAGTTAGTATGTGAACTTTTCAAGAACTCAATTGCATCATATTCACTTTTTTATAGTACATCTTGTGGTTTAAAGATAAACTGTCTGATGCCCACTCTAGTCTGCCCACGATCATAATAGCGACGAAATTGTTCAGTTTTTTGTCCAAATTTTTCTTCAGATCGACTGTTCCATTTTTTTTCACTACTTCTAACTATATTTTGAAAAATAGAATTTTTGATTTGAACTGGCCAGAATGTATTGGCAGCCAACTGATCCTTTCCTACTTGGGCGGCATTGTTTTATAATTCATGGACATTCGTGGCAGTTTTTTAGGCGTGTTTAAGTTAAACACGTTGTATTCTGTCATTTTCTTCTATGCATGCTATCTTCCATCTTCTCATGTTTTAAACATTAGATGCTGATTGATGGTATAACAAATACTTTATATTATTTATCTGGTTACAGGTTTGAAAATTGTGGTTATGTCAAAATGGTTTAATTACTTCATAAGTTAGTTTTTCTTTCAGTTTTTTTATATTTTTTTTTGTATTCAATTTTTATTTGGTTCCAATGCTTCAAGATTCAATAATGTTTTAATGCAATTACTCGCAAATTTTCAATTCTATTTCATCACGGTGTAGGAAGTGGTGGATTGCATGTTTCAAGGATGAATGTACTGGAGAGTGTCTCTGTTCCATTATTAATTTCATTGTCTAATGTTAAAAGAATTAAATTTTTAACATTAATAGATGTTGTAGTCACGCTGAACTTTGTCTGGGTCATCATTGATGTCTCGTTGAAGTCAAGTTAGTTTTACACGTGCCATCACATACTTCTGATAAATACAATTTTTTCATTTTTTTCATTACATTTATTTGGTTGTTGTTTAATTTATTGAACTACTTCAAATTTATTTTTGGTTTGAAGTACATTAGTCTAACAGCAGATTGAAATAAAACCTTTCATGGCCATCAACCTAACAGCTGATTGAAATTAAAACTAAATATTCTTATTTATTTTAAATACTTGTTTCAAAAATTGTTTGAAGGTTTACCGAAAGACAATCCTTGGATGGATCTTGAGTTCAAATTCTTTGGCATTTCGGTCTTGTTTGTTCTCAGTCAGTTGCTTTTTTTATGTTATTAATATTTCATTGCATCCATTCAGTTGGAATAGTTTGAAGTGAGATGGAATGCGCATAGTTAATGACCAAAGAGGAGTAGTTTGAAAAAACAGAACGACAAAAATTGTAAACAAATGTTTTTGTTTAATATTAACAAAATTAAAATATTGACATTAAAAGATGTTTTAGTCACAGTGAATGAACATGTGACAAACTGGAAAGAATTAAATATTTTCTCGGTTAACGAAGTCAGGTTTTATATCAATCAGTTAGAATTTATCTCTGTCGGCGAAATTTTTTACAACTACCAAAGTATCAGTGGTTTGTAGGACGGAACGTCATCTGTCTAAAAATAATTTAAACAAAAAAGTAGAAGATTTAGTGAAAAGATTTGCCAAGTTTGAAGAATAAAAGAGGCAGACGATTATGGATGAATGTTTGGATTAGCAAATTTTCTAAGCTGTTTCTTTTTTGCTAATTGGAATTTTGTTACAAATTTTTAAAAAACTTTTTTACATGCGCAGTATACACAGTGGAGATGGTGATGAAATGGATTGTGCTCGGGATAAGAGAATATTGTGCGAGTGGATGGAACATGTTAGAGACTTTTGTTCATATCTACTTAATTCTAAATCATCAAATAATTGTTAATTATTAAATAATAATTCTTGATTCATTAAATAACAAAAAATTCATTCTTTCAAAATTAAAATTACATCAGTTTTTCAATAATTTTTTTATTTCGTTTTATTATCATCTGTTTCATATTGTGCTATAAATTGTTTTTTTTTTATTCAAGTATAATTAAAGACAATGTGAACATTGATGTCAACTTTTAATATTTTTTGAAGATTTGATTGTGTAGTTACCCTGGTCTCAATAATTGGAATCATAATGGAGGCAGTGCTGTTCAGCGGTTTAGGAAATGACAAACTCTATATCGTTGTCATTTTGAGGCCTCTCAGGATTATAAGGTTTTAAAGTTTTGTTTCGAGCCTCTCTTGCTTATTAATGAAATTTTAAAAATCATAACTTTTACATTTGTTGGAGTTTTGAAACAAGATTAGATTGTGTGGCTTATAAGATTAACGATAATATTTCACATATCAAACTAAAACTACTGTATAAGCTTATCTTTAAGAATGTTATTAAACGATTTCATAAAAATCATCCAGATTGTTCAAAATGAAGAAAAGTTTTCGAGACATATTCGGTGCCTTGTTTATATTGCTTCCAAGAATGACAAGGTCATTCTATGTACTATGTATTGTGTTCTTTTTTGTTTGTCGTCTATAGTGCGTTTTTAAATGATGTTGTTTATTTCATGCTAAAAAATTGAAGTTTGAATAAGATTGGAAGTTTAAATATATGTTCATCACTTTTACTTCTGTTTTTACTCATTTAAACATAGCTTCAGTGATTCTAACTGTCGGGACATTATCTCTTCGTAATGTAACAACTGCTTAAGACAAATTTTCACTTCCTATGTAAATTTATTGAATAGTGATGAAAAATTACATAAACAATCAGCTTAGCTATTGCCATGTTGTTGCTATATTACACATTTGCCATCATTGGAATGGAACTCTTTGCTCAATATACCGACCAACTCAAAGATTGCTGCAAGTATGGCTTCATAAAGTTCATTGATTCTTTTAAAATATGTTTATTATTATTTGGTTTTTATATTATGAACATTAAAATTATAATTTAATTGATTAGAACTTTAATTTTAGAGATTTTCATGTTAAAGTAAATTGAACAATTTCAGTTTTGCAACATCTCTTTTTGCTAATTATGTTATATAGTGTTTTGTTTATTTCTGATCATATTACGTTATGTTTTTTGTTTTTGTTTTTTTTTTTGGAGGTGGCCATACAAGCATTGCTTCAGGTCTCCATTAATAAAATTGTGTTATTATTATTATTATTATAGAATCGTGCCATTGCAATAAATTGTAACTAATTGAAGAAAAGCACCTGTTATAAATCTTTTTTTTTTTTGTCAACCAACATCTCAAAAATGATTCCCGACTTATTTAAGTTTATTGGCTGAATATTTAGCAGATGTTTTATAGTTACATATATAAAAGAAGTTTGTAATGGCGTTGAGTTCGTTATATAATTATGTTAAGTTATAGCAATGAAAATCATTTTTAGGAATACAAGTGTTCAAGTATTTTATGCTTTCAATGATAGCATCGACGGATATTATTACCTCAACTCATTTGAAAATATCTTTATCAGCGGAGGTCAGTCTAGCTAGTAATTTGTGTATGCGTGTGTGTGTGTGTGTGTGCTTGAATGTTTGTATAGATACGCGTGCATGTGTATTGTACTGTATATTTTATTGTATGGAGTCTTGTAAATCTACAATCAAATTTTCAAATACATTATTGCAGTGACCTTATTTGAGCTGACCGTGGTCAACAACTGGTGGATTATAATGGTTTTATCTTGTTTAGAATTTTTCTTTTATTAAGTATCCATTATAATTATGCAAATGTAAAATTATTGACTCATTTAACTCGTCATCTGTTCTCACTCTAATTAATTAATTTATTTATTTATTTTCATTGTACTTTGTACTCGAATTAACGAATTTCGCCGCTACAAACTCACGTAGGCAATCACAAGAAATTTTTTCGTTAAAGAAATGATATGAAATTAGATTGATATAACTGATGTGGACTTGCAAATGACATTTTACAGGAAGGGTTCGCCAACGTCGTTTCACCGTGGAGCCGCTTGTACTTCATGACTTTCTACATCATCATCATGGTTGTTCTTTGCCTCTTAACATTCATTTTTTTCCAATGATCACTTTCTGATTTGTATTTATTTTCTATGGATAAATGTTATACCGGGCTTTTATAGAGTTTGATGACTTCGTTGTGATTAATGTCAGTAGTGGTAACTCTAAAAGGGATTGTTTCATCTACAGATGCTAGAAATAATTTTGATGTAATAATAATAATAATTGTTATTAATAATTGTTAATAATAATAATTGTTGGCGTGATGGCTTAGTGATTAAAGGCGCCTGGTCCTGTTTGCAGTGCGTGCAGTAACCGGGTTCGAATCGAATATGAGAAAGGATCCCCGTCTGTCGCATGCTACGTGTGTGATGCGTCCTTTGGCACGTATTCATATACGCTATTTGAGTGTATAAGATCTTTAACCTATTTTAAATTAAATATAAAATCAATCAATCAATCGATTGATCTTGAATATTGGAAATTGAATATAAAATAATAGATTAAATTATTGGTTATATGTGAATAAATAGCAATAACCTCTGGTCATCTTATCATAAATATTAAATGTTTGTTGTTCTTGTTCAGATTGTAATGGCTGTAGTAGTCGCATTTATATTGGAAGCATTCATCTTTAGGATACAGTACAGACATCAAATGGAAAAAGAAACTTTGGAAGGTTGAGCATCGTTTTCATGGAATCAAACATTTCTATCAATTAAATTCAATTAACTAATCCTTTCTTTCTTAGTTTTCTTGTTATATTTCTATCATTAAAAAGATGTCACTTTATAAATCTAACTTTATAATTCTATCTACTATTTTAATTATTTCATTTAACACCATGCTATTAAAATTAAATGTTTTGAAGTTTATTGAATTTTTTTGTTAATTGATATTGCAGTACATGCATCACAAAAGGTAACGATTGAAATCAGTACGGATGATTTGTTTAACAACTGCAACATCAACCTGCTTTCCAATGGATCACAAGTCAGTTATTTTAATTATTCATAAAACGGTTCAATTTAATTTTTGATAAGAAAACACTGGCGACTTATCTGCTTTCGTTAGATTAAAAAACTTTGGTAATAAAAATAGAATTTTTTTTAAATTTCAAATAAATTCAATTTTTCAATACTTTTAACAAACATCAACCAACAAAACTTGGAAAAAACAGCTTGTCAGGTTCCATGGCAAGAGGAAGATGTGTAAGAGTGATTTCAGTGTTAGAATGTACGCCAATGAGGTTAAGGTCAGGATAGTTTTGTTCAACTTATTCAATTTTTTATTTTTGCCATCTAATTCACGAGTTAGAAAATTATTTTGTTCCATGTAAAACGCTTCACGTTCAGCCATTTCTATCCAGCATCACTTCATTGGAACCTTACAAAGTTATGCCTAATACTAACAGGTCATTTTAGAAAATATTAAAAGAACGACTTGTTATATGTGCCTTCTGGTGCTCGCCAATGAAATGTTTAGTGCAAATTTCAAATACAGAAAACTACTCTTTAATGAGAGTGAAAAGATAGACGAGCGTTAAGACCAAACAATGACATAATTTTTTAGAAACAAATGAATGGACGGCAGTTTGTACAGACCTGGTTAGCCGCAAGCTGACCAAATGTAACACTACACTTTATTTGCGGTCCCGAGAATGCATTTCATTTCGTCTAGCAGGGTCACGATTTGTAATGCAAATTGTATTCGCGCTGACTTTTAATGAACTGTTTAATGTTTTGCATTGTTGTTGTAAAGTTTTTGCTGCATACGTTAAACTGGCTTTATGAGAATATAATATTTGTGAATATTTAATAAAATGGGGAACATACAACACAAAAGGAATGGTTGAATGTCTCGCAATCTGCTACAGCTTTGACCGAACAACCGCCAACTAGTGATTCTTCTCAAGTCAGACCAACTTTTGTTAGCACTAATCGCGACGACGATATTCATCAGTTCAACAACAACGTTACTAACTGCAACAACAACCATAATAATAATAGTAAAAATGATGATAATAATAGTTGTATGAGATAAACATTAAAAAAACAAAAGCAATAAAAGTATTTGACATGTAACCGTATCGTGAGTAGAAAGCCCAGTCATACATTCTTAATCTTTCATTACATTTTTTCGTTTCGTTCATTTATTTAACTTTTCTTATAGTTCTTCAATTTAGTTTCTTTTTGCTATATTTTCACTTTAATTTCATAAAAATTTATTTTATAATAAATTGAATTATTAACAGAAAATTATAAACAAATGCATTTAATGAATGTTATTTACAACACGCAGTCTTAGTTTTACTTGCAATTTTCAAATTACATTACTTTCTTAGATATATATTTTTGCCTTTCAATCAAATTATTTAATAAAATAAAGCAAGAATTGCAGGCATTTCTTTAGTCATTAGTTTTTTTTATTGATTATTTTTCTTTAAGAAAACAATATATTCTAATCAAGCGTATTATTTTGGAAGAAAAATTTTTTTTAGTATTTTGTTGGTATTAACGTAACTATTGTTTAATGAATCCATTTCGTTTTTTCAATTTAAATAAAGATAAAATTCGTGGTTAAAAAATGATTTTAAATCTAGATATAAATCTAGATTTTTGTAAAATTATTGCAAATATAATATTTTATAAATTAAATCAAATAGATTATTTCTTCATATTAATGTTTAATATTTAAAATATCATTACTCCTTTGATTTCAAAATATTGTCTATTGAATGGTGTGAAACAGTTTTCCAAAAGTGAAAAAGAATGAAATTGATGAGGCGGTTTTCAGAAAAAACTCATCAATTTTGACTTTGCGTTCCTACTTTATTGGCTCTAATAATTCACTTTGCGTTGATCCATTATTTATCACTGTTAGCGGTTAATACTTTGTCGATAATAAAGTCCTGTTGTATATTTATTACAGTGTTCCTCTCTTTGTTTATGTAAAGTGCTTCTAGAACTTTACGTTTAAAAGTATCCCTATTGCAATACAGTATCTTTGTGTCATTGTTGAGTATCTCTAGTAATTGTTGTTCCGTGATTATCGATTAAATAATTTTTTATTGGACCTCTGTGTATACATAGTTAATTTTCGCGTCAATGTATGCAACCGTTTACAATAATATATTTGTATATAATATATCAATCTAATAAAAAGTAGTGTATATATGTTTACGAGTTTACACATTTTTGTGACTTTTATTTCTTTGTTTTGCTATTGCATATAAGCTTTCTACAGCTGGCGAAGAAGCAATATCGATCTGATTTGTTAAACAGCCGAAAACGTAAACAGACAGCGAACGGACGAGCGATACACGGACAAGAGATGAATTCCTCGCTGAAGAAGCAGACTGCCGAATTCAAAAAACGTTTGATTGACAATGTCGGTTTTGCTGTATCAGAACCTAGCAATAATCATACCGCCGTCAAAAGAAGTGTCGAAACTGTCAATAAAACTAAAAATAAAAGGGCAAAAATTGAAAATGATCCTGCAACTGCTGCTATTACTACTACTAGTCCAGTCTTCAATAATAAAGGTTTGAAAAATTAAATTAAAATTGTTTTTATTATAAAAAAAATTATTAACCATTTGGCTCTGTTCCATGCTTGCAATGTATGTCCTGCCTGCCTTGCCTGTTAGTGTTACTGTTAAGTGTTGTTAATGAAGCTTAGCTTGTAGATTGGATTGCTTAGAAATCATTGCCACTAAAAATTAATGAATCTATTAATAATTCATACTTATCTTATCATTATTATTGTTATCACTTTTATTTTTATATTTTTTCATATGGTTTTTTTAATATTTCAGATACTTACAAAACATCAGCTGGAAGCTCACATAATAACTTTTCCATACTTGCAAAAATTGTCAAACACTTGAAGGTGAGTTTTTTTTTAAATTTAAGCTATATTATTTTTGTTAAGTTTTCTGTTGGTAACAACACAAGTAAGTAAACAAATATGATGAAGACGACATATTTTATGTTGGATTGAGGCACAGTTTTGATCATAGAAATTAATTAATGCTCAACTTTATATCTTGAAATAAGTGATGATTTAAAAATTTTGTATGGAGGATGTTTATGAAATTGTGCAGACATCAGGTGATAAATACTGCAACCTATATTTCAAATACTGCAAATGTGATTGTTATTAAAATTTCGTGTTACATCCAAATAAAACTAGATTGATGAGAGCATGTTATAAATATGTATCTTATTGAAACTAATGTGGCTTCTTAAAAAATCTTCTTACAGGTAAGACATCAAACAGGAGAGACTCAGCCATTAACATTTGATGAAATTCTAGATGAAACAGGACAAACCGACATACCAGCACGAACCAAACATTGGTTAAATTACGAAGTTAGTTTGATCTTTTAAAATTAGTTACATGTTTTTATTTTTTTGTACTATGTGTTTAAGATCTTTAAAATTGTTTCTTAATGTTTTTATATAAAATTATTTTTATGTTTTTAATTTATTACATTTAGTTAAATCATTTTCAACATACTTTTTGATTTTGAAAAAAGATAATTGTGAGCCAAGATTAGACTGTATAGAAGTTTTTACCTGGAATTTTTTAATTCATTTTTGAATATAATTGTAATGACTAAATTTATGGCATTTTGTTTTATATTTGTATGAACAACAAGGTTTTTTAATGGATTAAACTTCTTTTGTGAAGGCTTTGCGTAACAATGTCAAGATTGATGTTGTCAACGAAGACAAGTACATATACAAGCCTGAATACAACATCAGAGGAAAAAACAGCCTTAAGAAACTTCTAGAAAGGCACAGTCGAGAGGGGCAAGGAGGCATATTTCTGGAAGCCATTGAAGAATCTCTTCCTAATTATCAAAAACATCTAGAAGTTAGTTGTTATTAAATGTACTCATATGTGTTCTCAAACTTTAATGGATTTTAATTTTCATTCTGAATAAATATTTGTTTTTTTTTCTCTTTCTTTTTTTCTTTATCTCCATATATCTTTTCTGTTTTACTAATTTCTGGGGCGTGAAAGTGTAAAACCACTCATTTACTTTTGTTTATTGAACCAAATAATTAATTTAAAAGATGATGTCTGATTCAATTGTGCGGATAACCAGGCCTGATAAAAAAGAAATTATCTTCAGCAAAGTTGTAGGACTCCCTGATCCAATTGATGAAGGTTTGTTAACATTAATCATTCTCTTAATCTTAGTCATTCAATTAATGTCATTGAAGTGATCATCTATTAATCATTTATTAACATTTATTTAATATCATGGTCATTTTTCAATATTTTTGGGGTTGTTATCTTAATTGCAATTCTAAATATTGTGTTTCATGGGTTAGAAACCTATAACAATTCTCGTAAAAAAATTTTTATGTAAAAATTTAATTGCAGAAATAAAAAATTTATGGCGAAGCGTCTCGGTAGAGGGAATGAATGAGAACAAAATTCAAGAATATTTGCAGAAGCATAACATCTCCTCAATGAAAAATATCAACCACGTGAGACCCAAAAAGGTAAATGCTGTTACAAATTTTTTTTAATTAATTTTATTTTATAATTTTAACTTCAATTTATTATCTATCTATACCCATATACAAATTGAAGTTTTTCTTTTTAAAGGTTTCACCCACGAAGAGAAAAACATCCAAAAAGTCGACAGAATTGCGACATAACGCCCATCTTGCTGGGATTTTAATGGATTACGACAGAAATCAATAAAAAATTTTGTTATTGTTATTTATTTTTATTTTGTGTGAAAGCATTTTTATTAGGTAATAAACATTTTATTTAAAGATCAACTGTTGCTAATATTAATAAACGTACGGTACGTGCAATTGTTTATGATTTGCCTTTGGAATCATGCATAAGTCAAGGTGAGTTTCGGATTATTACGTTACAACAACTAACGTATATTCTCCAGAACATCTGCAAACGCTGAATTTGTTTTGTTTTTCATGTATACACTTGTATCTTTAAAAAAGGCATGTCAAAAGCTTTGTTTTTACCGGCAATATTTGGTGCCAAGTAAAGTAGCAAAGTTGACCAAATGAACCATATTCCAAATAATTAAATTCACAATAATATCTATTCACCAAAAATAAATGAACAAAGCTAACGAGCGAATCGCTCACCAAATAGGCAAATAATTACTGTCGGATTGAAAATCCTAACGAGTAAAAACTAACAATCTTCAATAACGAATTTAAAACACAACGAGCTAACGAAGCCACCACGAGCCAATTGTGCGGGTTATATAAGAAACTGCGATAAGGAGGAAATACTTGTCCAGTCTATCAAAAATGAATACTTTTCTTTACCCTCTCACTGCCCTTCCTGGTTTGGTGTTTCCATACATAAGCGCAACCGCAACAGTACACAATAATTACCATTCACAATAATAGCAGAATAACGAATTAAGATCGAAATGCTAGTACGCAAATAATGAATTCATGACAGCATAATATAACATAATAATAATGGGCTCAATATGCTCACATCCTAGATACCATAACACAAATATGACTTAAAATAAACATCTGTAAATACACATCAAAACCATGATACATCCAAAGGACAATGAGCGATAACTATTACAAAACAGCATCAAACGAAGGGTCAAACACAAAGTCAAAATCAGTCATATATCGTCCAATCGCAATTTCAGCTTCTTATCTTTGTTTTTATCTTCCCAACTCTCACCCTTAAGCTTCCTATTTGTTCGTATTTTCACATATCAATTTGAACACCGAAGATGGTATAGGAATACCGAAAAAAGCTTTTTTGTTCTATTATGCATAAAATAAACAAAATTTTGGTTTTGAACTAGAGAAACTTGAAAATATGATTTACGATCATTTTTTAACCGTTAGAAAAATTGAAAAGTCAAGTTAGAAGTTAACTAACGCCGAACATGCTGTGAATTTCATAAATAATTGCATTTCCGACAGTCTTGTTCCATATATATATATATATATATATATATATATATATATATATATATATATATATATGTTGGTAATAGACCATAATTTTTACAATATTCTATAAATTCTATCGAATGTTTGGCGTTTGTAA